ATTTACTGAAATAATTCCTTTTATTCAGTCTTAATGCAAAGAATTACCATTTTAACAAATTCTCTCTCTCACCCACTCTCTCTGCCCCACTCTCTCTGCCTCACACTCTCTGCCCCACACTCTCTGCCCCACACTCTCTGTCCCACACTCTCTGTCCCACACTCTCTGTCCCACACTCGCTCACCCACTCTCGCTCATCCACACACTCTCTCTCGTTCACCCTCTCTCTCGCCCACACGCTTTCTCTCTCGCTCACACTCTCTCATCCACACACTCACCCATGAACTCACAGTGCTGACTCAAAACCAGACAACAAGCTGGTAGCTGGGAAGAGCTTATCTCCGGTTATGGACATAATCGATAAAACAATGCAACGCGCGCTCTTGAGGTAGCGGTGGAAATTCAAGTTCACTACACCCCCTTGACCGGAGAGCACACCGAGCAGGGCGCAGCCTCACACGAAAAGCCTACCTCGCTGAAGAGATAGAAACAGAGAACATTTTCCACGGTCCAGGACGTCGTGTTATATCTTGACGCAGAGCGTGAGAATGCTGAGACTAACCTCTGCTTGCATTGTCGCATTGAAATCCACATTTATCTCCGTAGGCGTGTCAGAGCGAGGGACGTGAATGCACCGGCGTGCGCGGTGACGACCTTGACCGCGAGCGCCGAGGGCGTTTCCACGCGTCCGTCTACTGGTGACCTTTTGTCGTCAGCCTTGCATGAACAGGTCAGATTTTTGAGACAGAACTTTGTGTCCACACAACATGGTCAATTCTTATTTATTTTGGTAGACCGACGACTAAACGTTAAGTATGTAAAGCAAAGAAGGCGTGCTGTCGGGTTTAGGGACCAGAGGCCAAATCATTCTTTTTTCCTTTCTATTAATTATAATTGATTCTTATTAATTAGCTTGTAAACCTCTTATTTAAAAATAATTATAATTAGTTTTTGAGTACAAGTACAATGATTTTTAGAGAATGATTGTTTACTGACCTAATATTAAGGACAATCAAGGATTAATTATTTCTTCATATTACGTATTTATTAAATATTACAATATGACAAAAGTAATTAACACAGGTTTATCTTTAGTATTGAGGACAAAGCAGATTGTCGCAATCTCATCTAATAGTATATTATGCCATTAGTTTACATTGCTATTTTTTGCAGAAATTAGAATAGCGGCATGAATGACGGAGTGAATGCGTGTATTCTTATGAGTGCAAAAAAGTAATATTATAAACTAATGCCATACGCTATTTCTTTGAATTTCATCATTATGATATTATTACAATGGTAAAATGGTAACTGAAGGTGGAAGTAGAATAGTATATTACGTACATAATGTAGGCGAAAACGGATGTCATAGGGTGGCCGTGGTTGGCCTGGGTGTTTATTTGTCGTTGGGAAATGCATGAACCAGAGGCAATAATTAAAGAAGTTGCTAAAGCAGAATAGTCGCTAACGCCTAGAAATTCAGTTGACGAAAAAGAATATGAGAATTTGTAACTTGGATGGAAGAGAAAAATACAAATAGCATTCAACTTGTGCCCAGAATAATTCATTGAGGAGTCAGTAGCAAATAAGGTTAGAATCGCCAGAACAATTGTATCTGGGGGTTGAGGCGCCGAACACAGGCGACCTCCAAACACCTCACACTCTCAAATGGAAACAACAGTTTTCTGAAAGTTCTGGATTTTTTTTACAAATGTTTCGACTGCACATTTCATTTTCATATAGTATCAAGTGTTTTTGTAGTATGATTAGTTAAATTTCTTGTTTCGTAGTGTTTCTTTTGTCGATTTTAGTATTCCTTCTTTTCTATGCTACGAGTAAAGTAAAACGCGCCGCCCGGTACTCCCGGTCTCAATTTTTTTTGATGACGTAACATATTTTCACTGAATAGTTTCAAAATTTCTGCAGTTTCTGGTAGCGATTTCTATCCATAAGAGGTTGTGTATAATATTGATGTGCAAAAAAAGTTATGAGATTGAAAAAAAGCATTCGAAGTAAATAAAACTAAATTAGAAAACATTTCAGAAAGAATATCTAGCTTTTACCCAGTTCTAGGCAATTTGGATCAATATTCCTGCAGACAGTAAATTAAAGTAGAAATATTATTTGAACGGTTGATGCAAAACAATGGGGTAGGAAAATTATGTCTATTAGTTTCATGAAACATAATGAAATCGTAAAACAATCTCTCTAAAACAATCGTTTATATAAAGAAAGGGTTGTTTTGTCAGAAATCCCTCGCCATATGGCACCAATTATCGGTAACGTCTGTTTCGACCTGCGTGGGAATATGTTTCCACATTTGATCGCCATCAATAGGAAACAACATCCGTTGGGATGGTTCGACACGAGTCAGAAAGAATACAACGAAACTTCGCGCAAAAAATACTTGCTTATTGCAAAAATATTTACTTATTTCACAGTTTTACATTGTTAAAATACCAAATTTCTGTTACCCAAAAAATCTAATAATTTATATAATTTTAATTTTATTTTTCCACTAGTTCCAATCTTCATAATACTTGTCTATTACATTCTTCTCTTTCAAAACTCTCAATTTCTCTCAACCAGCTATGTTAGGTCTTCCTCTTTTCTTCCTCTCCACAGGATACCACTTTCTTTCATTCTTTTAACATGACCGAACTGTTGTAATTATTTGTTGGATAATTTCTAAAACTGAACTTTATTCATTTTTATTTTCATTTAACTTATTTTATCTAATTTTGATAACCTTTGCAAAAATAAAGAAACTAATAATAATGCAACATTTAAATTATTAGTACGGTATAAAACTAGAGTCGTAAATGCATCAGAAGTCAGATACAAAATCAAGTAAATGCATCACGTCCAAGGTGTCCGTATAAAAAAGTACAGCGACGAACTATACGGATTTGAAGCGGAGGAAAAGAACAGTACTGGGTACGAATATCTAGAATCAATAATAATAGTTTTGGAAGGCATGTTACCGTTCATAGTGAAGGTTGTATTATCTTTACAAGGAAGCCGTATTAATTTTCACAATCCACTTGTGTATGATTAGTTTATGCATATCTGATTAATGCAGATGATAATGCAATTCATTGACATATATTTCCAAGCAAACACTGCAGGATTTCATTATTTGGGAGTGCGATGCTGTGATTCCCTTGCTACGGATTTCAGGAACCGATTTCTTCCACGAATTCATTAACCGCTATCGATCAAAATTCTATGTATGGATGCCCTTCTCACTTTCTCCGAAAGGTGACTCTGCATCAGGGATGCCAACAGCACGTACAATACTGCTACCAAAATAAACATAATATACGACATCTATTGATAAAAAACGGAAGAAATATTCTGTATATTTTATAAATGCAACGGTGATAATTGTAATTGTATTGGTAATTGGATTACAGCTTCGTATATATTTCGTGTCCTCTTTTTGTAAGCAAGATGGATTAACCTCTCGTAAAATGGATCGGATGACGTTAGAGATCTGCCATATGCGGATTTTCTACACTACCTTGAAAACAACATTTAGCCAATCTGGAGGAAACGTCTTGCGGCCGGCTGCACTTGAACCTCCTTAGACGCAGTCTGGAGAACAATTCCAGTTCTAAAAAGTAATTTCCGTGATATATACAAAGCGAATGCCGGAGCAGCAACTTAAAGAAATAGACCACAGACCGCGACCATTCGTTTCTCACCCTGGTCTCATTCGCCTTCCTTACACACACTCTCACTCACACTCGCACCCACACTCTCACACTCTCACTCACTCACACTCTCACACTCTCACTCACTCACACTCTCACTCACTCACACTCTCACTCACTCACACTCTCTCACTCACACTCTCACACTCTCACACTCTCTCACTCACACTCTCTCACTCACACTCTCTCACTCTCACTCACTCTCCCACTCACACTCACACCCCTCTAACACTTACTTTCACTCACACTCTCACCCACCCAAATACACGTACATGCTCTCCAATACAACACACATTGGGAGAGCAGTCATGAGCTTAGAGCATTTTACGGCTGGTATAATGCAACGCACAGAGAGATCCCGGAGAGAGCAACCCCACGAGCGTATTGGCACTGGATCGGCATACCTGCGGGCAGGAACCCCGCCACCTCCCGGGATATAATGTGAATTTCACTTGCGAGAGTAATGAGCATAGCTCCCGGAAATAAAATAATCAATTTCCAATCACCTTCATTCCATTGCCCAATCTGGCCTGGAGCGCAGTCGTAATTGACATGCACCGCATTGGCGAGGAGACATTGCAGACCCTACAGATGCTAACTATTAGTGAAGGTAGTATTTCTGTGACTGTCACTAGTCAATACTCAACCATCTATTTTAACTCAACAAAGAGAAGTATTAGATTGTTTCTGTAGAAAAGTGTTAAATATTAAATTCAGTACCTCGTACGATTTTCCATGTTGATAAGTTACCAATACTAACGTAGGTTAGGCTGACTTCGGTTGCCGCAATTTGAATATCAATCGGCATTGGTAAAATTGAAAGTGAATAATCGTCAAATAGTATGAGGTTGGGAGTGATACAAAATTTGAAGTTGGCTTGGTATTCAGTAGTAAGCGGAGAGAAACGGGACGGTTCATGAATTGCTTTTACATTGCAAACCAGTACTTCCGTATTGCGATGAATTTCGCTGCAATTAAAACTCAGGATTCCCGGAAAATAATCTTATATCTAATATTAATTGATTCAATGAAATCCTTTAATATGTGTTGATTGTGTTGAAAGAAAACGTACTGTGGTTGTACAAATTCTTCAATATCTTTGAAAAAAATATACACACACAAGGTTTTTCACAAGAGCCTGGTCTAATTTAAACTTATTGTACTTAAAGTAATAGGGCAGTAAGAGTCAACGCATTAAAGATCCAAGATTTTACTTTCATTAGAGTATTGTTTTGGGGTTACACCGTGGACCAAAAAAAAAAAACCTCTCCAAGAAAAAAAAGCTTACTTGAAGGTGCCCTCCTCGCGGGAGGTGAAGTCGCCGTGGGCCTTCTTGTCCAAGGAGTAGCGGCCGCCCACCAGGATGCGCGGCAGCACCAGCTCGAAGTCCGCGTGCTGCTGCTCCACCGTCGCGTCCACCTGCTTCACCAGCCAATCAGCGCGCGCCGCCGCCATCGCGTGCTCCGTCGTCCTGCAGCCGTCAAGCACAACGAGTGATTAGCGAAACATCGCTTTCCCATGTCAATGAAACCATCGACAAAAAACAGTGATGTTTTAAGAATGATGAAACGCATTGAAGTAAAATGTCCTGGTTATAATGTGATTCATAATACGTCAATACAATTGGGTACATTTTTTGAAAATTTTAGTAGTTTTCGCGCCGTATTGCATCCAATATGTACAAATTTTAAAAAACATCAAACACAAATTTTCTCAAAAACGGTTCCAAATTTCTTTTTTGAATCTACCGTAGGGATAGTGGTAGTTATAAACGTACTCTTAACAGATGGTAAACGCTAAATTGCTGTATTCTTTTGTTTTCAAAATTACTAAATTTTAATTTTTTGACGTGTCAAAACAACAAAAACAAATTTTCTCAAAAACCGTTCCAGATTTTCTTTTTAAATCTATCGTAGGGATAGTTTTAGTTATAAATGTACTCTAAAAGATGGTTAACGCTATATTGCTGTATTATATTTTTTTCAAAATAACAAAAATGTAATTATTTTGACGTCTCCCTCAGGTCGTAAATATTTGCATTAGGGGTGACTTGTTCAAATTATTTATGATTACATGTGCATGTCATATAAAGTTTATCGAAAATTCAACATCCTTCTGTAAAAATGATATCAAAATTCTGCATTTTTTGAAATTCTCAAAAGCCATTTGCTTCAAAATGGTTCCAATATTTTTCGACATTTTTGTGCATAATGCGCTAATTGCACCCGTTGAAATGACGTAAGATTAATTTTTCTGCATAATAAAGTGTTTTCACAAAATATACAAATTTCTTTTAAATCTCTCACAGCGTTAATATGCACATCACCAGCAATTTGTAATCACAATTGTGTTTGTGAGTGCAAGTGCTTTAAATGACGACCAATCACGTTTTTCGAGAACTGAAAATTGTCTATGAAAAAGACCTTCGAACATCGCATTTCCAGTAACAATATATATAACATATAATATTTTTCATAAAAACTGCTCCAATTTTTGCAATGAAAATTGCCATTGAGTACGTGGTATGACTCAACTTAAATATTCTTAAAGTAGTATTTCGGTTCTACAGTTAGTAAACCGGAAAATTGAAAAAAGAAACTTTCGGCGGCGACAGATTGCAACTGTCAAAAGTATGTGGCAAAACAGAAAATATAGGCCTGGCCAAAGAAATTAGAAAAATTAGTACGAGAAAGTCTGTGCCATTTTGTAGACAACTAGTTGCATTGTGCTCCTGATTGATGGGTTACTCATCCAGGACTGGTGTTTGATTGACACACGAACTTTGAGTGCCACACGACAATATATAGTTTTATCGTTTTTATTGTTCCGTTTTGAGTGCGTTGAAATGTGTATCAAACCTCATAATCGTGTTCAGAATACAGAAATTTGAGTAGTCAAACTACGAGAGCAATTCAAATTTTAATTAGTTTTGGCCATTGCAATAACGCATATGTGAGCTGGTGCATTGTCCTGATGAAACAACACTTTTTTTCTTAGCCAAGTGTGGCCGTTTTTGCTTGATTTCTTCGCACAAACGTTGCAATAAGTTTGCATAATACTCGCCGTTGATAGTTTTTCCTTTTTCAAGATAGTCAATGAAAATTATCCCCCGCGTATCCCAAAAAACCGACGCCATAACCTTGCGTGCAGATGGAATGGTCTTCGCCTTCTTTGGTGCGTGATCTCCCTTTTCAGTCCATTGTTTTGATTGTTGTTTTCTCTCTGGGGTGAAGTGGTGGACCCATGTTTCATTCATGGTTATGAAACGGTGTAAAAATTCTGCTTTGTTGCGGTGAAACGTCGCTAAACAATCAATTGAACCATCTTCACGACACTGTTTTTGGTCGAGTGTGATCAAACGCGGCACCCATCCTGCACACAGCTTTCTCATGTCTGATTTTTCAGATAATATGCGATGTACTGAACTTTTCGAAATGCCTACTATGTCTGCTAGCTCCCACACTTTCAGTCGACGATCAACCAGTACCCAGTACCATTCCAGTTTGTGGATTTTCGTTAGCATTTCTGGAGTTGTCACCTCATTTGGTCGACCACTGCGATGCTCGTCTTGGCAGCTCGTACGGCCTCATTTAAACTTTGCCACCCAATATTTTACTGTAGTAAACGAAGGCGCAGACTCACCAAGAGTAGAATCTAGTTCAGTTTTTAAACTGGTTGGGCTGAGGCCTTTCAAATGAAAGTATTGGATCCCATAACGATGACCAATTTTCTCCATTTTTACAAATTCACTCACAACGTTCACTATTGATTGTTGCCCACACCAAATACTAAACAACGTAGCGTCTTCAAACTTGAAACATATCTTCATAGATTGTCTACTTCTAATACATTGATCAATTGTTGATACACTACCCGATCTCTAGGTCAGCGACACATACGTTCTGTGACCTCCTCTGTAGAACAAGAAAGACAAATCGCTCCTTTCATTGTCAGTGGATAGGTCCTTCTCTGAGATTTCGCGAAACTGTTAAAGACCATTACATGATTTACGTACCAATCATTTACGCGACGTAAAAAGCGAGTCATACGTAACTTGAGTTACATGAGATTACCCACCACATGTTCATTGTCAAAAAATGCATTTTTGTTCCCTCTACATTCCCTAGAAATTTGTTACATTTATTCCAAACCACCTGTATTAGGTTGATAAACATTCACAAATGCAATATTTGATTTCATAGCTCGTTCAATTAGAGCATATGTCTAGATAAAGCTCTCAATGGAATCAAATTGCACTTTCCATAACTCGGAAACGAAAATGTTTATTTTTTCAAATATTGCTAATCTTATTATTTCAAAAAATTATTTTTATTTATTTATGTTAAACATTTACTCATCTTTCAACTATTTATAGTTAAAATAACGAGAAGGGATTCTGGAACTCAAGAAAACGTGCACAAACAATCTTCTCCCCCATACGTCACATACAGTTTTTACTGTTGTTGTTTTTTTTTACTAAATAACTCTAAATCTAAATCAAATTGCACTTTCTAACTCAGCTAACTCACAATTGCCACAATGATATTGAGAAATGTTCAAATCTCCTTGAAAGTTATTTACCATAAACACGAGATGTGACAAACAGAAAAATGACATTGAATTTCTGTCAAGTAAAAATATCATTTAAAGTGCTGTGTATTGAAATGTTTCTTAAAAGCAGAGTATCCTTCTCGAGTACTACATTAGAGAGAGACTACTCGAGAAATACATTATTAAATCATACTGGCGATATATGTAATTAAATAACCTATTTTGTTTAAAAATCTCTGTAACATTCATTCACTGCAGCCTTCCTCTATCGATTTTCATCACTTTTGACTCCAAGAGACACTTAATATTAGAGCGCTGAAGTCAAAAACACGTGCACTTGACGTTTCATAATCAAATATTGTTCCAATCATTTTCATTACCCAGCATTAATTATTGGGGGTAATTGAATAGTTGTTATCAGAGTTAAATGGTGGATGGAATTTTTTAATTGAAACTTCTGATCCAAGAGAGTTTTGAGGATAATTGAAAATGAAATAAATTGTAGGAAACGCGTTGCATTCTGCTCATTAGTTCATTATGTTCCTGCAAAACCTCTATCAACGAATTCATTCTGAGAATCATTTCAATGAAGTGCAGAAAGTTGTTTAATATAATTCATAAATGATATTTCTTAAATATGAAAATGATGATTCCTAAAAAAACAATTATACTTTCAATATTATCCAAATATATGCAATTGTTTCCAATCGTAATATGATACAGTATATCGACAGTAAAGCTTTTAAACAAATATTGTTAATAGTTGAAAAGGTTGTAGATACTACGCTCACTCGGTTTGGTTTTCGAGGATTAAATCCATTTGATTTCACATTAAGGAAATGCGAAAATAATTTTCCCAATGGTTACGTTGTTTTTTGGTATATTTTTCACATTTACATTCACCAGTGACTAGAAATTAACCAAAATGTATTTTAATTATCTCTCTTGTGCAGAGGTGACCTGATTACAAGCGTTGAGAGAAAACTGCCCCGAGTGTTGTGCTGGAAGCTGATCAAAAGAGGCATTTTCAGGATTTCCATAGAGAGATGTGAAAATTAAATTTTAATATTTCTTTCAAATAATCGTCAGTGGGATATTTTAGAATGTGGAATACTTAAATTCTAGGAGTACGTATGTTTATGCGAGTTCGTTGGTAGGCAACATATCTAAAAGAAAATGTACGTAATACTTGCTTTAATAGTGAATAATTTTGTCCAAATCTTGTAGGTATATCTTCATCTTGGGTACGTCATACGTTATAAATGGTCGGGCGTAAACATATGTGCTTACTTACACTGTAACCTGGCACTTCTCTTCATGGAAGTAGAGATCGTCTAGTTTCTTCGGTCGAATCAGCTCAGTGGGGCCTCTAGTCCCTCCTTCCAGCGCCTATACGTGCGAGAAGTATACAACATATTACATAATACGCAAACCAAATTTGAGTAATATACAGGAAACGTCAAAAAAGGAGAAGGCAAATATTATTAATCTTCATTCTCAACATCCTTGTAGATATAAAGGGAAAGAGTTCTAATCCACAGATACCTGAAAGTACCTTTTCGTGATTTAATTACACGGATTTCATGGAGAATGATAGATTCTTTTTTATTTGATATTCCTAAATGTACTATTGGTGTATTTATACGCTGCTGTTCAGCTAAGCAAAACCAAGGAATATGATACTCAATGTAAACAGTTGTGTATTTTCATGGTTTGCATAGTGAAATATATTTGATGTACGATAAAGTTCTTATTATAAATCTTCTACATTTATATCTAATGAAGTGTTTTTAAGATGGCTAACAAGTTGGTTTTGACAGAAACGAAATACGTTGGAATATCTAAATTCCGAATAAATTTTCCAAAATTGTAGGGGATGTAGGCTGAAGACGAAGACGATCATTTTTGCTTATGATCATGCGTTTTATAATTCATATATCAAGCTTACACAGGCTATATTTGCCCCTGGCTGTTAGGCAACTTCTCATACGTAAGTGTTCGGCAGGTACACGAAATTACTTTGACAACATCAATCAGTACATGACCTACTAAGCGTAAGGATGGATGGGCAGTTGCCTGGCAATTACGAGCAAATATCACGTGCGTAACTTCGTAATGAGACTACGTGTTTATTAGTGATTCTCTTTGATACCTCTACATGACCTCGAAATTTTTGAGATTTATTCTGAGACAGTCAGTGTAGGAAACTAATCGTTTTCTCGAATACGTTCTGTGTATACAAGGGAACGATTGTGTTGAATTTCTGAGAGAATACCAAAAGAAGTGAATCATACCTCTCGAACTATTTCGCTCAGAGCATCGTTCGCAGCATCAAGATCATGTGGATCTCCTGTAACAGAAATCACAACATTACGCGACAATATTATGGAGCGATGTTCCAAATTTGTTTTCCTAAGGAGGGTCTTGGGGAGTGTTATCAAAACATATGGATTTTTTTTGTTACTCGGGTAATTTATATATGTGAAATGATATCATATCTCCTAAAACATTTCATACAAAAGTACTATCGTGTCATATTAATATATTAGGTCGCTGAGTGTGTTATGTGATATTGGGTGATTGTATGTATAAATGGTGACATGGAAATCCGAAAGTATCTTTCCTTTGAAAAAAAAAGGCGGAACCGAGAAAATTACACCTTCATAAGACGAAATAACAGAGATATCCATAAGTTGACAAAATAAAGTCATTTCAATCAACAAAATATCACGAAAAAAGGTGTAACTTTCGCATGAGAGATGAATTGAAAGACAGCAAGCAGATAGAGCTGAATAATGAAAGTAGAATGCAAGTGAGTGCAATCATGTAAGAAATGAATTCGTGTAAGTAAATGTAGGGTATGAGAAGCACTTTAGCAGTCAAGGATGAGGTGGTTGGAACACCATTGAAGAAACTTGATCATTCAGAGGAAGATCTACGGAGAATATCTAAGAGGAAGCTAAATTATCCTTGTATTAACCACAGGCTCACCAGTCCATTCGATTTCGGTGAGGAACGCGAACTTGTAGGGCGTTGTGGTCTCCTGCTTGTCTTGCTGGGCCGCGTCCGTCACCTGGTGATCTTGCTGGGCCGAATCCTTCCCCTGCTGGTCTTGCGGAGCCGCGTCCATCATCTGCTGGTCTTGCGGAGCCGCGACCGTCATCGACAGCCCGAGCAGGACGGAGGACAGCAGCAACCACATCAAGAGGCAGCCCCGGGCGACGACCACGACATATGGCATGCGCGGCGAGGCTGCACTCGCGGCGGCGCGGCGGGGCGGCGGTGCGTGGCCGCGCGGCGTGGCGAGTCCGGTCCGGCCCCGGCCGGAACCCGCCAGGCGGCGCGCCCGCCCGCCTAACCCTTGCACCGCCGGCCCGCCCCGCCCGCCCCGCCCCGCGATCTACGCAACCATTCGATCACATTGATCCGCGCCGTCCGGCGGGGCGTCTGGGAAGCCAATCGCGTTCGCTGAGCGGCGAATGCACGACCGTGCCCCGGCAGGCGCCCTCGCGCGCGGCGGCAGTCAGCTGGCTGCCTTGTTGACATTGTTGGCGCCGGGCGCTCGCGGAGAGGCCAACTTGACGAAACTTGAGATTTTTGCACTCCTCAAACTCTCTGGGCAAGCAGTGAGCACGTTCAGAGATAAAAAAAAACAGCATTAAGAAAAGTCTTCTCATTATCTCTTCGCCTGTTAAATAATTAATTTCCAGACCAGATAAAATGTGTGTCATCATGGTTTATTAAAATTTACCTACTGCGAGTACACCAATAGACTTGGTAAAATATAAAACAATGAAATCGATTGACTGTCTGTGGATAAACATTGCATTACGCAATGTTAAATTAGACAGCATGCATTTCATTACATTTATTTGGACCTTTAAGGCGACAAACCTTGGAAATTTGTTTTTTGTTTTCTTGAAGAAAAACATTGTCTAATGCATATACGCATTCCATGTATGAAAATTAATATTTTAATTTGTATATATCACGAACTATCTTATTCAAAGAATAAATGTGTTAAAATAGCCAACGTTTTTGAGATAAAATATGTTTAATAAAATCTAAAATATTAAATTTAATTATAATATTACAATGATACTACTTCCGGGTCAATAATTGTTCATCGCAATCGGAGTTGGCCAAGTTTCCCATGATCCGATGTATGCTGAGTGATACAATGTCCGGAGGTTTATGTAACGTTAATTTGTAATTTACAACAATTTACATTATTTGAGAACTTAGTAGATTATACAAAGTAGTTTTCATTTTATCATAACTTTTAGAAGTAAATATATTACGAATATTAATTTTAAAACTATTTTCTACGGAAAAAATTCCAAATACATTTTTCCCGATAAAGATTAACTTCTTCTATCACTAACAGCGAAAAATAATACATATATTTCGTGTATATCCTTAGCCACATAGGTCTCATCAATTCTCTCTTCAAACATACCCAAAAACATGCACACGCGCACGCACACGCAACACGCGCACACACACACAACACGCACACACGCGTATACAGACACGCACACAAAAACACGCACACACACACGCACACACACACGCACACACACGCACACACACACACGCACACACACACGCGCGTGCACAGACACGCACAGCTACACACAACGCACAACACACACACGCACATACACGCACGCACACACACGCACACACACACGCGCACACACACACACACGCACACACACACGCGCGCACACACACACGCACGCACACACACACACATATACACACACGCGCATACAGACACCCACAAACACATACACAAACACACATAATCTTTTTGAGTCGAGAAAATGCCATGTATTACGGTGGCCGCGAAACTTTCCTGGTACTCAAACACAGTTAATATGTTTCGGACATGCAATTACAGTTCCATACAAAAGCGTGCTTCTGCATGGGAAGCTCAGCGATGTTTGATACATCTGGCACGTTATACTGATGTCCTTTGAAATAAGGAAGCTTCCAACTGAAAACAATTATCACTCGTTCTAATTTATACAACAAAAGAATAATTGAACAAATTTAACTGTTAATTAAAAATTGACAAATGTTTAAGTCTTAAGTAATGGCTTCTCTGTGTTCTAACTCACGGAATGTGTCTGAGACACTTTCCTCACAAAAAAGTACTTGTCAATGATAAGTTATTGCATGGAATATTGCTTTGGCATATTTCATGGATGCATTGTATATATTAATATGTTTTCAACTTAATGCTTACGTATAAAAGAAGGGGGAAGATAATCTTTGTCATACTCCTCCCTCTAGAGGGCGTAAGCTCCACATCCTGTAAATTTGAAAGTGGCGTCTCCAATTCTTGTTTTTAAACTTCTGAATGTCATTACTGGTGACTTTCCGCTAATATTTTACCACGGAAAGCAATTAACTGAAAAGAAAAATATTTTTAATATATTAAAAATGCTAAATAAAACCTGGATCCGTCTGCTTGCTGTGCAGTCAAAAGTGCAGAGTATAGAAGGATGGTGCAAGGAAGCATCCACGAAAATTTCTGGTTTCTTTGAATTATCTTGGTTGCCCAAGAGACGCCGCATCGAAGGCTGAGATGCCGATACCTTTGTCAGTTCAGTCCTAAGAAAAACGACGATAAGACTGTCTGAACGTCGGCGTCACCCAGAACGCCACCATGTGGCTGCGTGAGCCTCCCCCATCACTTCTGCGTACTTCCTCTCTCGGGCGCGCGACGAAAAGAACGGAAGACGGCGAAAACGTTGGTATAACAACTTAGGACACGACTACGAGTACATACGCTCAGCCAAGACTGTGACTATAACCACGGATGTCTTCGTCTACCCTTTCTAGTTATCAATGTAACCTTTGTGTTCTTAACCTTTGTGTTCGTCGTTCAGTCTAGGCAGTCTCTACAAGGTCTAGACGTAACGCGAGTGGTTTAGTTGGGGTTTAGTAACCGAGAAAGATTATATCTGTACGGATATAATTTTCCTTACGTAGAACAATATACATTCCAATGATTTGAAAACGAAAGTAACAGTAAATATATGTAAATAATAACATTTTTAGTTTTTTTGCCTGGCGTAAGAGGCTTAAGAAATCAAGTGATGACATCGCAATGCCTCTCACCTGGACTTCGAGGGTTTGAGTCCCGACGGTGGAAAGAATTTTCGACAGAAACACGAAATAATCAATCATCAATTACTCAGTTGAGTCCATTTAATATTTAGCGTTAAGACACGCATACTCCCCAAAGTACGCTAATAGGGAATCATAGTCAGCGAATTAGGAATAGTAAGTTAAAAACAGGTGAGATACAAAATCCCTCGCAAGTAATGAATATCGTAAAATAAATTAATATTATAAGTATATTACAATTAATCATGTTTATGGGACATAGTAGAAAGGTTTTGCGAATTTTGTGATGTGTTCTCGAACGTATATAATTATAGAGTTAAAAGAAATTTTAAGTACACCCAATACTTGGCTGTAGTAGGGTCACATGAGGAAGCGTATCAGGAAATTAATAGGTAATTCCAACATCACTTAATTAATTAAATTGTTTATTTATTCATTCTTCTTCTTCAAGATGATAAGGAAAACGAAAATTTTCCAACATTGTTACGTAATCTTTCTATTTATTTCTACATTCTCCGATTGCTTTTTGAGGTAGTCGAATAGAAGGTTTTTCCGGGTGGTCTTGTACACCTCTTCTTTCTTCGCCGAAGGGCGAGTGGGTGAGAGAGAAAGAGACAGTGAGAGAGAATGAGAGGGTGAGAGAGAATGAGAGTGAGAGAGAATGAGAGTGAGAGAGAATGAGAGTGAGAGAGAATGAGA